TGGTCACTCTTTAAATAAAACCTTAACCGTTGCATAGAAGAAGAGATAAGATAATAAGAATCCATAATGGGCAATTCGGGTCCATTTCTACTTCAATTAGGCCACTCCATACTACTCTATTCCCCATTTTAATATGAGTTTTTCAAATTTTTTCATCGTTACCTGGATCGTCTTTATTGTTGCTTTTTTGTCTGATTCCTAATTTGGTATTTTATAATATGTATCAGTCGGTCCTACATATTTTATAAATTGGTAATACTCATGTAGAGTAAGATGGATTGGTTATATGTCACGTGTGATGTATTATCAGACACGGCTATGAATTATAAGAATAGAGCGGAGAAAGTAGAGAAATACTTTAAAACAATGGGTATGCAAAATTACTGGGGGACAGCAGTCCGTAATTTGGATGAGTGGAAATAAAATGTGATGAAAGCCAATTGCCACTATGGCTTGTACTGCTAAATAGAATAGAAGAAGAGGTCAGTATAAAATATACACGCTAGACTTGATTAATGTTAGGTTTATAGTATTTATTTCCAGTTGTTTTTCTTGGGTGAATTTCTTCAAAGCTATATTATTAGCTTGCCCGAGTCGGATATTTAACAGCTGTTGTCGTGCACGTCTTATCTGAACATGATCTGGAATTTCGTTTTGCTATACGGCCACTGTATGACGGATGAACAGCTGTTATAAGGGCTAGTCCGACGTTATTGTGTGACGTACCTACCCAAGTCGTAATCGGCCAAACTTCAAGTCTGCGCCTGTCACAGCATAACAAGATTAAATACATTCATATACGAGCCTATACGTGGCGATCTGTGTGCTTCTAGTGCTATCGGTCACGGATAGGGTGACCGCGGTGCGGTTAAAAACGAATAATCTATGTTTGTAAAATAATCACACTCGCGGGTGGTTTACAAAAAAGCCGCCGGTAGCTGACGGCTCGGCCCGTGTAATATTTTTTACTTTTTCCGTTCTTACAATACATTATTCAGCCGGCGGGTCGTTGAAATTGATCGCCATCGTCACCGTTGGCCCATCACAATAACTTAACTCCGGCAACTCGTCGGCGGCGGAGAAGCGAAGGGCAGAGTGGAGTGCCGCAAAGGATATGACGTGTAAGAGGGGTGGATGGAAGGGGGAGGCAGGGGGTAAAACAAAATGAAATATTCTCGCGTATACATAAAAAAAAAAACTGCTCGTTATTCTCTGTCATTTGATTTCCCCCCCCCCTCTCTTTTTTCCTACGCAATATATTATACTATTCACATGCGTATATTTTATGATAAATGTTTGCTCGTGACGTGTACAAATTAGCTATCATTTTCTTCTCTTTTTTTTATTTTTTTTTTTTTGTATAACGATTGCCTTTCCTCTTTCCTAATGGCGTAATTAAACGAGAGTGTGTCCTAATTACGGGCCGTGTCAAACCTGGTGCGCCCCGCTGACAGTATTAGCTCCCCCCTTCTCCATTCCCAACATGTTTATACACTACACGCGGTTCTCTGGTGTTTTTTTTTTAAATTTTTTAACATGATTCATCGGCTCCCCCTAAAGCCGCGCGTATACGACTAATCATTTTTTAAACCGTGAAAAGAAAACCGTCGAGCACAATGCATGTGCACACACAAACACATACACAAGCACACTAGATAGATAGAGCAACCTTGATTAATTTTTTCCAGCCCCCGGCCGTGTTATTGCCGAGACAAATGAATCGTGTGTAATTCGTCTTGTCAAACCGACAATCGATTTTTTTTTCCTTTCCTACTCTTCTTCTTTTACTTCTTTCCCGCGACTGCCTACAATGCTCGCCATTGAATCCAGTGGAAACACACTTCATTAGGTTATTCAATTTTTCACCGGCTAACAACATGTTACATTATAAGTTTTTTTTTTTGTACGCGCCGCGTTTTCTTGTTTTCCTTTTTCTTTTCTTTGCTCATAATATATATATATATATACAACCGTTACAATTACACACAAAGCGCATAACTATACACGCGGGCTATAAGGGTTCTAGTATTCGTCATCATTACACATGCACCGAACGGTAGTCCAACATAGTATCCTTGTATTATATTTATTATGACCGAGTTGACGACACCCGAGGCTCGTCATTCAGCTACGGTCGACCGATCAAACTGGATGCTCCGTAATAGTAACAAAATTACACGGGGCCCATCGATATCACAACATACATTTTCCCACGTGGGACTTTATATACTAATAATAATGTATGTCGGTCTTGGTAGCAGTTAAAGAGATGTGTAAAAGATAGGTACAGCCCGTACGCGGTAAAATGTAATACTAACCAACAAAACGTCTAGATCCATAATTCATGCGGTATATCATTATATAATAATAACATGAGCCTGTTAAAAAAAAAAAAACTTGACGGATCGTTTAGAGGGGCCCGAGGAATCGTTTATAAACACACACACACATATATATATATATATAAATATACATATACTTAATACTTTCAATAATAAACTTCAAGACTGTAAACAGTGTTGTCGATCGTTAACAACCGTATTATATATCCTAATCATATTTTAAACCAGAGCCGGTGGTGTTGTATTATTTTTTAAGGACTTTTAGTGAGAACGTGACGTAAAATAATGGCGTTGGCCGTTGGGTATATTTGGAACAATTAAGTATTATAGGCATAAATTCCAAGTGCTTGTATTATAACCTAACCGAGTACCAATAAGGCAAAAAATAACGTGTAAACAATATTGTAAAGAACTTGCGTTTTAAGGGAAAGCCACACGGTTCTCGGGGATCTTAAGTTCAGTTCGCAAAGTCCAAATTAATAATATGAGGTTATATATTTATAATAATAGAATATATTTAATTGGATTAAAAGAAATAGTTTATTCATTTAACTCTCTATCTCTAACACAAGCTATTAGCTTAAAAGATATAGATAACCATGTTAACTAACTTAATGTTTTTTGTATTCTATGTAATTTATGATGGTTCTTAAAATTAAAATTAAAAATGTAACAAAAATATTAAGAACTTAACGAATTAAATGTTTAAAATAAGCATTAGGTATTGACAATATTGTACGTTTAAGAGAACATATCACTTTAGTTTTAACAAAATATATTGTAAAAATTAGGGGAAAAAATAGTATTGTTAAATTTGCTATTGTAACCCAGTTGATGATACGCTATTCCAATTGTATTTATATGAAATGAAGAGCTTGTCAAATTGCCCACCTTTGTATATGAACAACGGCAAAATAAATAAAAATTGATATATCATTGACCGTGTGAAGCATTTAATTTATGAACAATATAAATTGCTTATAAATTTATTCAACCGTAGGAAAATGAGTAGCAATTCATAAGTTTTTTATGGAAATTTTCGGATTGTATTGCACCTATCAATTATTTACACAAAAATAAAAATGTAAAATATATATTTCTAGAAGATTCAACAAATTTGCATAACGAATCAACAAAAACTTTCTATAGTTTGTGCACCGACCGAATAGATTGTGTAAATTGTATGGGATATTTTGAATATTTGGAAACAATGCCAAAAACATTTGCGATTGCAATATTGTTAAATAAAATTTTCCCTGTCGTGTGTTATATATTATAGTAAAAAAACTGTTATTACATATTTCACCGACAATCTCCTAGTCTGTTTCAAAGTCTATACTCGAGTGCACCAACCAAGGACGGGCGACAATCCTGTTCGTTTTCGCGGGATAAGTATGTACCTATTCTTTATTGGACTTGGACATGAACTATTGGATTTGACATTGCATCGTGTGGAGTGTACGCAAAAAACCGAACAAATGCATCTGGGCGGCAAAGAGATATGATCGCTAATCGAAATCGTCAGTAGGTATTTAATAAAAAGGGATGCCGCGCGCTGTGTGTCTACTGCGCTGTCAGTTACAATAATATTATGTTATCGTTATTGTATTATAATTTTGACGGTTATATCGAAACACACACACATACTGACACATACTCACTCGCGTATAAGCCCAAAGAAACCGAACAATACATGTTACACTGTTGTGTGTGTCACAGTGTGGCGAGTGTGAATGTGCTTGTTTGGATTTTAGCATAAGTTTTATCGCGACTCCACTGTCAAACGGCTGTCAATTAAATCGGATATTTTCATTGAACGTTTACCGCTTTGGTATTATTATTGTAATATAATATATATACAAAAAAAAAAAACATAATTTATATACTTTATACAGCCGGCACACCGCACATTCAATCGCATTTATTTCTTCATAGACAGTACCTATACACATAATAATTATTGTACAGAACGGATATCGTTTCTGGTGACGTGTTAAATCACAAAAGTTATACACATCAATTGGGCTGTATCCAATTATTTACGCCCACATGCGAGCCAAAAAGGTATTCACTGTTTTTGCAATTATCGGTGACGACCAGCGAAAGCGTTTTATTCACAGATTTAAGCTGTTGCCATAATCCGCGTACAGGCAAAATTTAATTACCGGATGGGCTTGTTTATAAAGTCGCCAGTCGGTGTGTACAACATTAAGACTACACGACATATCGTACGTTCGACAAATAACACACAAGGCGGTTTTTGTACTACTTTTACCGTTTAAATAGCACTGCGTATGTTGTGTATTCTATTCGACAACCGCAGTTGAGCTTCAAAACCTCATTTTATATTACTCTTACACGGGTATAATGTGTTATGTAAAACACAACCCAGTTGAACTTTTGTTAATGTCATGCAGTCGATTTCTTTAATCGTTTACTGGCAGCTATGAGAAAATTAAACGACCGTAAAAACGCACTCAATTAGTGCGAGGTCAGACTCGTTATCTCTATCAGGCAATGAACTTGAATAATATTATCACTACTACAAAAGACAACATTAGGTTCAATATTATTGATTTATATTTTATTTATTCTTGACACATCTGTATACACAATAGTAATAATACAAATTTCGAGACAAATAAAAAAACATTTTTTTTATCCATTAAAATAATAATCATAATAATAATAGGTATATTAAAATATTAATAACAACGCGGCTGTCAATAATAATAATCATAATAAAGTTATAATAACCCAAATTATAAAAGTCAATGACAACGTAACGTTACACTGTTTTCGTGAACGTTCAACAAAATTATAATAATATAATCGACGCATCTTGAAACAAAACTGAAGAATTATTGCAATAATGAAAAATCAAGTAACACACGAGCTAAGTAAATTTGTATATAAAAAAAAAAATTATATAATAAAATAAATAAATAAATAAAAATTATACGGTCAACGCAAACCGCGCGTTGGATAACAAATATAGGTAGAAACGATTTTTGATCTCTGCGAAAGAGGCTCACGCAGAGAGATTAGCTTAGTTTCTAAAACGAATATAATATTAATTAATTAGCGAGTCGGGAGGATAAGTACTTGAACGATCCGAAAAATCACATTGCGTCCTCCTCGCCAGGGCGTCCATCCTAGTGTACGCTATCACAGTTGCACGTGTCGAGTCTGAGACGGCGTCCATCAGCGGCTGACGGTGGCTGATCCGTCGCGGCCGGGTGCCGCGTACAGTTGATGATGGTGGTAAGCGGCGGCCGCTGCGGCGGCGGCGGCACCGGGATAGTAAGCGGCGGTTGGGTTGAACGCGCTGTACGGCGACGGATGCGGCATGTGCTTGCTGCCGTACGGTGACGATGCGGCTCCGTACGGTGAGGCGGCTGCTGCCGGGTGATGGAACAGATGTCTGGACAGATGATTGTTGTAAGCGGAAAACGCGGCGGCCGCGGCCGCGGTGGTGGGCGACATCGGTCCAGCGGCAGCGGTGTGGGTTCGGATGTGCTGCAAGAGTTCGTCGGACGTGCTGAAGCTCTTACCACACAGCGATGGAGCTGCGGCCGGCGATTCGGTGGCCGCAGACGACTGCGACGGTATCACCCAGCTGCAGGTGTACGGGCGGGCGACAGGCGGCGCGTAAAACGGTGCGGCGGCCGCCATCAGTGACGACAGGTACCGCTGGTGATCACATTGGGCGCATCCGGCCGGGCAGCCGACGGTCATCATCGGATGGTGGTACGGGCTGACGGCGGCAGCGGACGCGGAACAACCTCCGGTGGACAGGCACAGCGGGTCTTTGCAGTCGGCACCGGCAGGCTTGTTGTGGTGTGCGGCCGCTGCGGCGGCCAACGATGCGGCCATCCACGGAGCACCTGGCAAGTACGTGTGCCGGAACGCAGCCAACGCGTCGGGTTTGTACGGTGACGGAGGCGGTAGCGGGCAGAACCCTTTGCCTCCGTGCATCACTTCCAAGCCGGATCTGATGATGGGGTTGGCCGTCTGCTGTGGTTCCGGTTCGGACGTGCGTCGTTTGGCGGCGGTCGCACCGTCGTCTCGGGGCGATGCCGACTTCCTTTTCTTGTTGTTGTTGTCCACAGAGTTGCTGCTCCTGGGCCTGTTGTCGTCATCGTTGTGGCTCAAAACGGTATTCTCATACGGTTTGAAGTTCAACTTAGCGGGCTTGGTGTCTTCAATGTAGTTGTTGTTGTGGTTGCGTTTGGTCTGGCTCAGATGGTAAGCGGCGGCGGCGGCTGAGGCCGGCGAAGCGCTGTGTGGACGGTCGGCGGCCGCTATGGGCGTTGTAGCCGGCGTCGCGGGTTTCTTAGATTTGGGTGCCATCGGCGGATCAGCGCCTATTTGGCTGCAGGTGCGCACCAACATGGCCAACGGACTTGTCTTTGAGTCCAACTGTAAATAAAAAATAAATAATAAATAATAATGAAAAATTACAACCGTATAGTAAAACATAATGGTTTTGCCGATATGATGGCGCGATAATGGTCCGCTCGTTGTCGGCCGCCGACGGGTCGTTAAACATGACACGCATTGTCACAATGATAAATAATAATGCCAACTATATAGTACTATAATGTATATAATACTGTATACATTATTCTTGTGTACACACTCGAGGGGTGGACGTTTTTTGATCGTCGGACAAGTAATAAATTCATCGGCGGCTAATTCTTTGACCGTGCGAACACCGTTACCGCCCATGCCATTATCGTAATAAATAAAGAAGAAAAAACACATTTCACCGCGGGATGGGGGATGGTCTTTACAGCGGCATAATAATCGAATCTAACTCATATAATTTATGTGGTTTACATCGGTTTCCGTCGACTTCTATAATATCATATTTTTGAAACATATAAAGAACGAGAAAAGTCTGTACAAGTTTTTTTTTTTTTTGTAAACCGATGTTCAATATATAATATAACTTTTGATCGATCTTGTGAAAAAAAAAACGTACCGCGTTACACGGCTAATTGTTTTGTGACCATTATTGCGGAAGTCGGAATAGACGATATTCGTCAATAACAGCTTAACCTATCCCAAGTCGTGGAGAACCGACGTACATACCCTAAACAGAGCAGACTACCGGTCGCGTAGTGCCTACCGATAGTCGTACTATATGTTATTATTTACTCTTACGCATATATTGAGTAAACATTGGAGGTCGGTAAATGTCGTATCCGACTCGACCGTCTAATCGTGTTTAATTTCAGTTTTGTCGAACCTAATCTACCCGTCAGACGTAACAATAGGAATACCTTTTGTTTAATTACAAGAGGTTTTTTTTTTTTTTAATTTAAAAAGAAACGCGAAAAATTCCACTTACCGAAGCCATGGAATTATCCTGTATGTACTGGTACTGGTTGCTCTCGGAATTAGTATCCATGATTGCCATAGTCGATGGTAGGTATTACACGCACTTCACGCAAAATAATACTTAATCAAATCCAAAGTATACACACAAGAAAAATAAAAAGATACAAGTTTCACGTCGGCACGGAGAACACGGTGGACGTGCGAGGTGATGTCGGCACGAACGTATGAAGAGCACTGCAGCCGAACGGGAACGCTTGTGGACTGGTGAGTGTTCCGGACTCTGGCCACCGGCACACCCGCAGACAGCAGTGTCGGCGGCCGACGATGGTGCCGCCGGCACGGTAATTCCACCGTACCATAATTATCGTACGCGAGGACCAAGATTCGCGTTCTGACTTCTGTGTACCTATGTAACCGCAATATGATAATTGGTAAACTATTTTTATGACGACTGCAGTACAACCCCGTGTATAATACACAAAAACAATGTCCTCATAACATGTTTATAACATTTTCATGATATTTTTGAAATATTAATAATATTATAGTTACCAACTGCCTGAGATTGTGGAAATATTTTTAACTATGTGACACAATATTTTATTAAAATGTTTTATGAGGTGTATTTGAACATAAAAGTATATTGTATTTGAGAAAAACTAACGAATTTACAAAATGTTATTGCTCATTGCTCAGATATTTCTGCTTTATCATTTGAAGACAGTTTAAAAATACTTCATTTTTTTTTCGACGGGCAACGCGAACCAAGTAATAGATTTAAATATATTTGTTATTTTCATTTTTATTATCTCTCGTTGTCCTTTAGTTAACAATTATAATCATAATAATATTACTATTATTATTAGTAGTAGTAAAGAGGAAAGCAAATTAGTAGTAAATTTAAGTTATTTATTTGACCATCCTACGGCACTCTCTCGATGCGTTTTGATGTTGTAATTATTTTAACACAGCCATCGCCACTATCAAATAACACAATAATTATAACGTTAATATCGTTATTGTATCTAGTCAGTAATATTATTAATATTTTAATGTTTTTTCTTGTGGCGGCCGTTCGCTGTCCGTACCACCCAAGGCGTTCGTTGCCCAAGCGATGACAGCCGCGTACCCGCAACGGTTAAGTGCGTAACACACAACAAGAATAGAGAACAGTGGCGGCCGACAGACGTTTTTTGTAAGACGTTTATTATAATATTAAATGCAGGCATATAATAAACATCATATCGTTATCATAATCTTAGTTCCTAGGTTTAAGCCCAACGCCAAACTGTCTTGTCAAATAAATGTAATAAAACAAGTCTGGAGGGCGTATCACCTTCATATCAGTGAACGCATGTACGTCTGATTCTAAATTACCATAATAATTGTAGAATCGTTCAAATACAAAATAACTAACAGTTCTCTGAGACACTTATAAGTTATAACACAAATTGGATCATTGATCCTGTAATTTGATAACCTATCGAAATCCTGACTATGATTACCACATATATTTTTCTGATAAAAGACACGAAGAACAATGCTAACGGCATGGAAGCCACTAGTAAGTAGCCTTTGTGTTAAGACTTAAAAAAAGACGGATCGATTTAATTGTAGAAGACCGGAGGTCTAAGAGCAGAAAACTGGAGAGTAATAGAGTAATTATAAAAATAATAAATTTGTTTGATATAAATCATAAAAAAAGTATGTACCTATATTTGAAAAAAATTAAGGGCAAGTCCTAACCGGAGCAATGAATAATTAGACTCCGTTAATGATTATTAAATTGGAATATTCAATTCGGTGGAGTGATCAATTATCATTAATGGTCTACTGTAGATTTCCTTCACGATATTGTAATAGTTGGTATAGTATGGACTCACTAAATAAAGAGTGAAGTAAATATCCAATTATATTGAGAAGTTAACAATAAATCCAGCGCATTTGAAATATTAATCACGAGGAGTCAACAATGGAAATTGCCTATTAACATGCGAAACATAAATATTTTATCCAGACCAATCGATTAAAGTATTTTTAAATAAAGTCGTTTTTATTTAAAGCAAAAACAATGCCTTAAAAAAATGTAATATGTTGTTAATAATAACTGTTTTTTTTTTTTGTTAAACGTTCTTTTAAAACGCAATGCTACAAGGTTTATCGGCATATTGTATCGCAAAGGCTTAATAGCGTTATTACTTATTTTGTAGTTTTATACTAATAATTATATTTATGTATATATAGTATAGTAAACCGTCAATTAATACACGTGATATGTTTATACACTATTGAAATTACCCAAAAATGTACGCAGTAGTACATATTCTATCGCAATATTACTATAATTATAAAAATAACGCAATTACTTTGCTTGGTTAAAAAACTATAAAGTAAATATAAATTACCCAGTTTGAGTTTTTTCACAATCGAGTCCGACCGAAAACGAGCGTATACAATATACATGATTAAGATCATAGTACAATATTTCCACCGATTCGGATTTGCATGTATTATCCATTCCCCCCGCCCCAACTCGAAATCCCAGTTTTGGCATGTTAAGCTTTCAATCAGCGAAACATAGCGGTTATTTTGCATGTTTATTTAGAAAAAAAACTAACATAGGATGATTTACCCATAATAGTTATAATATTTTAGATCTGGAACATAATTAATCTTAATGTGCAAACTCCTGGATCTAGATCGATCAAATTATCATAAATAATAATTATCAAATTATTATAAATATTAACTATGTCTTCTCGACTTGACAAAATTTTAATCTGGACAGTAACCACAGTGGCTGAGTGACAAAAAAATTGTATAAATTTACTTGTACTGGAATTGCTTAACTTGCCCAGCTCAGACAAAATTCCAAACGACAGATATTATATTTTATCTTATATATTTTACCCAAGTATGTGTTTACTTGTTATTACCTAAGCAACCGTAAGAAATAGTCACAAAAGAGGCGGTCTCGATCTGGGATGATCCTGAGGATAAAAAATAAATATGAGAATAATTGATGAACTAGATAAAAAAAAGGCTCGGGTCTTTCGGGTTCGGTCCTATCCTTGACACACACGCAATCTGACACGTTGCATGAGTGTAATATATTACACATTATGTCATTTATTTTTTTATTGTATTATGCTCTTTCTTTAAATAGGTCCGTGTAGAGATATCGATTTAACGTCCGCACGCATCAGCCTTATTTTTTTTTTTTTATAGATTCCCATACATATTATAATATACCACATTTTTTCAATTATATGACACAATTACTATTCATTTTACTTTTCTGGGAGCACATAAAAAATAACTACCGAAACGGACGTATGTTATTAAAACGTCGCCGTGGTTTAACGACACTCGAACAGATAAAAGCTCGTTAGACCGCATTAAAAAATAGAACTGTAATAAAAACCTCTACAGATCATGTGTATATCCGAGGTTCGTGGAAACGCTGAAACCGTCCACGTTTAATCACCCTAATAATATAACTGTCAATCGATATGCACACAAACATAATATACATCAACTACCGTATAATGGGTTTAGATAGTATACAAAAATCATTGTACTCGCGTAAAATAAATAGTATATAAGAATTATCATCCGAAATGATCAATAAAACATGACAGGACGGTCATTTAACTAGCATGGGCTGTATAACGGAAACCGCTGTGTAACTTAATCGAGTAAACGTTTTTAATGACACTGTTGTGATATCATTTTAAAAGGTTACGATGGATATAAAGAAAGAAAAAGATTAGAGGTGTGCATTACACTACAGTTTTTATTTTTACTATTGTTATTTATACATCATAAAACCACTCACTGTGGAGTTACCATTTCTGGTTGTCGCACAAAATATGTTGGACGGTCTGTTGCATGTATGCTTCCAACGAGTGCTTGATGAAGTGGTGCAGTTTCTGGTCGACCAACTGGCTGACATCTGACGGCAATTGTTTGATTAAACCGTCGTGTCGGAGACCTTGCAAGTACACTTCGGTCTGGACCTTACGGCATTCGTTGTTGTTGATGGCCTTGATGAGTTTGACTTCGATGTCGACCTTGTTCAAGTTGAAGTTGACGTTCTGGGCCTGGGCACGTCTGCCGTCTACGATGGCGTTCACGTCGCTGGTCCACTGGAGTCCCTGAAGCTTGACGTCGAAGCGCAGTCTGTAGTTGTTAGCGTCCAGACGGGTGTAGGACATTGAACGGATTCTCTGGTCGTTCCTGTGGCCGGACGCGATTTCGTTGCCGATGTTGTCGATTTCCATGGCGACGTTGCCTTCCTTCCATTTCAAGTCGAACAATTTACCAGAGTTGCCGGATATCTGTTGGGCGAGAGGGGTGTTGATTTCATTCTTGATCTGCGACAGCATACCCTTGTGGACGGTGCTGTGCACTTCTTCGGAGATGGCGTGCTTCAGCATGTTGAAGTACCTGTTTTCGAAAGCCTCGTCCAATTTGGTGGTCTCCTTGTTATTTTCGTCGTAGACGGTGACGTCGGCGTACTCGAACTTGGCCGGCACCAGAGTTGCCTGGTGCGAGTGGAACCTGGCCGACACGTTGCTGCGGACGTTCTTCATGTCAATGTTGAATTGTCCGTTCTTGAGGTGTTCCCAGTTGGACTTGATCTGGCCGTTGACGTTGAGGTTGTTGAATTCGTATTCCAAGTACACGTTGTCGGATTCCGGGTTGACGGCGAAGTATTGTAAGCTGCCCGTGTTCAAGTTGCGCATCTGAGCGTCGTGGAAGTTGACAAAGTGTTGCTGCGACGGTTTGACCACGATGTTTTCCAAATCTAACGGGTCTCTCATGTTGGTGGATCCGGCCACGACGATCCTGTTCAACACGGCCAGTTTTTCGGTGACGGCCCTGGAAAGGGTGTTGGTTCCGCTGATGGTGATTCTGTTGTCGCGTCCGTACAGCTGTTCGTCGGAGTTCTCGTTGGATCCGGACTCTTCGCTGGAACGCCCGAAACGGTTCCACTTGGACCGGACGTATTGTCTGTCGTTGTTGTTGTCGTTGTCATTGTTGCCGTTGTTGTAGTTGTTGTTGTTGTTGTTGTTGTTGAAGTTGAGTTGATTGTTGTTAGTCCTGAGGACGTAGTTTCTACATTCGGGTTTGTTTAAGTTTTTCAACTTGTTGCAATCGTGCCAGTTTTGGTTGCCGTTGGTGATCAATTCATCGTCGTAGATGTATTCCAAACCAGAGTCGCGGTTCAAACCAGTGTTGTCTTGGTCACGGTTGTAGTGACGGCCTGAAATGAATTTTTTTTCTTTTAGTTACGTTTACCGTTTTAAATTTGTGTGAGGAAATATATATATATATATATAGTATAAGTATAAGTATAAAAATTATTAAATTGCATACACTGTACATATCTCGTTTGATTATCGTTATCATTGATATTAGAATATACTACTGTCTACTAGAGTATATTCTAAAAGCAATGTCGTTATGTATCTAGGTGATCATCCAATATATATATATATATATATGTTTTTTTTATTATAATACATTTGGATTAAAATAGTTTTTATAAATAAATATTTGCTATAAGTAATTATATAGACAATTAATTAATAAACATATTATTTATGACCGCTTTGGTTGAAATAAATTAATCTATAATATAATATAATATTAAACTATTTTAGACTTAAACGTTATTCGTGAAGTTATGGAGAAATTATTTTATTCATGCATTATTAAGTAAGTTAAACAAATGCGGCTATTATATATGTTATAAGATGTTGGTGTATTACACAACTATAAAACAAAACTTAAAAACTGTTTATTCTCCATTAAAAAAAAAATATATTTTTGCCAATCTCATTTGTTATCATTTATCAATAAGTTATTATCAATAACCCTTATAGTAAATTAGATAAAACAGATCACAGAAAGAAACGAATACAATGAGCATAAACCAAAGAAGATTTCTTAACACTTCTATATATGCTTTATAACTGCTTGTAAAATAAAAATAAATCAATTAGGTACTCTAAAACTGTTATAATATCGAGTTCAAATTGTAAAACGATGTTGTACTTACTGTTTTTGCCTTCGAACCGGTGACTGGCGGCCGCTAAGGCTACGCAGGCCAAAAGCACTGAAGCTAATGCGAGTGATGCCTTCATGATGTTGTTCTGGATTCACAACAAAATCAAAATGTACCTTTTACGTCGACGGCCGCGGCTATTTATTTACCCAAAACACATGATTTAAGCACAAATTATCCGTTTGCACAAGACGCACGCGCCGTTCCGGTTAAAACGCAAACTTCTATGAAAATATTGTCGATTAAGTCGATCGGACAAAATAATTACTACACTCAACGCAATCATTATTGTAACAATTGAACTGCAAAGCGCGTGTTTGTTATTGTCGACTTAGAGATATGCATTTATTGTAAGACGTTATCGTCGGCACAAAAGTTATCTTTGTGCATTAATTAGAGTTGGCTAATAAAACGAGTTTTCCATTTTTTCGCACAATTTATTCCGGCGAATAGCCTGTTTACGTTAATCATTCATACCCGACACAGCGAATTTCTATTTTATGCAATCACAATGTTATAACGCTTCTTAATATTATCTCTTTTACTCTGGTCTCTTTACAATGTCTGTTGCAGCGGCGGCCGCGAACAGTTCTTACAATTTTGTCGTGCACTCATATATTAAGTGATAGCTCCGTGTGTTCTTTGTGCCTTTGTACCGTGCCTTAAACTTTTGCAGGAAAAAAGTAATAGAAAATAGAAAACATACATTTTTCTATTGTATTATACGCTTAGATCCATAATCTATTATAGGAGTCAAACGATATTGAGATTTTCAAAAAAAACGTTGCCTACGCTAAATGTCTCCTAATTTTATTGAAACAATTTATAAAACCCAAATATATTTATCATATTTTATTATTAATATATTTTAGCTTTGATGCGAAACTGTTAAGGTATTGTTTATTTTCGTTATTTCTTTTATTTAAATTACATACATTTTCTTTTCTGACATTATCAGCTTAATCTGGCATAGTATTAAATAGTTGGTTAAAAATAATTTTTAATGCACCCTATGAAACTAAATATTACCTATTAATTTCTTAAACAAATTATGTATCATAAATAAAATGATTTAGTTATGAATAAATTATCTATACAATTATTGCTCAAATAATGGTGAAGCAGTTATCGCTATTTGACCTGTGCCAACAGAAATGTATTTAATATATTATGATTTATTACATTAGAAATTATAATTAGATTGTAGGAACATTACGGTACTGTTACTGTAATTACCTGGTAAAACTTAATGGCTTGTCGAGTAAAATTGTATTCACGAAAAAGCATCGTTTTTTTTTTTTTTATGAAAATTAATTCTTCCAGTAATATTTTTTTGAAGAATAAAAATTGTACACCGATGGATTTATAAAAAACCGATACGCCAGCTCAATAGTGTGGTGTATTTTTTACAACAAAAGAACATGTTATTTCATTTTTTTTACCTATATTATTTCGCTCAATTAAAAAACAAATACATTAATTCAATTAATTCATTCGGTACTGTTACAGATTAGTGGTGTTAAGCCACGCAGCACGCTGACCTTCGGACCTAATTCAAAATTTACATAATACTATAACTGTCTTAGGGTATTTAGGATATTATTATTTGAGTACATAATGACATCTCAGAAGAAAAAACATTTGTTTTCATTTCAGGCCGATCGGTCGTTATTTGCCAGACATCGAGAGACAGAGATTGGAAAAAACTGTTGTAAACTGTAACTATGTTTTTAACTGTATAATTTATTAATTTGAATTATATTTGCTCAATTCTGTCATACCGATAAATCTGTTAACGTAAGTGTGATATAATAAATTTCGCGTTTCGCCTTTAATCTGTAATACATATTTTTATTAAACTATATATATTTATACTATAGGCATAGATTTTTTTCTCGGCAGAAATTATTATCATGATATTATATAATTGGCGATTTTTAATTTTGTAAACGCCTTAGGCAAATTTATATTTTATTAGGTTAATACTATATTTTACACACTCGAAGAACTTGAACAACATAAATTATCTGTTTGCGCCATGCCGGGGACGTGTATGGTCCGCTAGCGGCATAATTGACTTTCACCTATACTTGTTTAGAGGCTAGTCGCGATTATGTTTTATTATTATAATATATTATATTACTATGAAGTATGATTATTGTTTTAACGACTGTGATAATCAAAATAGCTTGTTTGTTCGTTTAGAGTATACAATTCACATACATATTATTATCAAGTGTATAATAATAATATATTATTTCTATGTTAACAAGACTACGGTTCCGAACACCGAAAGTCAATATATTTACAACGACACGTTATTTTCCAATGTAATATTAATATAACAACAAGAACCGCAAATCGCCCTTCGACGTTTGATATAATAAATGTGTGACAAGTCACTAACGAGTTCGTAGTGACTATATAGTCTGTAGTGTAGTGTTATATGATTTTCATGAATTAAACATAGAAATAATTGGTATTGTATATTTTTATAATATAAGCTCGAACGAGGCGGCGCCTATTTTTTTTTCTTTCTTACATCAAACTATTGGAATAACAATAATTGTTACCAAGATCCGTATGAAGTATCCACGTCACGTCGTAGAAGAAGTAGGGACAAAAATGATTAGAATTTAAATGAGTTAATTGTTCAAACAAATAATCGTTAAAAAAATGATCTGCTTAACATATAACTTAAGAACACAATATTTAACGATCTTTTTTAAAAAATGTTGAATTTATTTTCTTATCACAAGTTTTTGGTTCTTTCGACAAATGACTTTCCTCTAAAATTTGTATCAATATTGAAATTATAGTCCAAGCTAATGGTCAAATGAAGAACAAAGTTCACAAAATAAAATTACAGTAGTTATATACTTCGATAAAACCTATAACTGACACGAGTCACTTGTCAGTATATTCATATCTCACACCTCTCTGATTTAAAAGAAACCGCACATTATTTTCAACAAATAGAATAACTAATAAAAAATGCAATAGTCTAGTTGAAAAGTTATCATTTTTAATAACTAGCCTTTACTAATAGCTCTTTGGAAGTAATTAATAAACAAAACGAATTTGTATGAACTAAACCGTGCGGTATACATTTGATAGTTGTTTCTGAAGTTTTTTCCCGGCTATTTCATTCGTCTCGTCAAATTGGACGAAAGTAATTATTTAGGCTTTGCAAGAATATAGTACGTCATAAAAAAATAAAATTTACCTCATTTCAGTCGACCAATCTTATTCGAAATATCGATACGTTATATTGGCTGGGATAAATATGTTAAGTTATAGATAACATTGGTAACCTTTGGCGTCTAGTCTTCATGCTTGTCGAGTAATATGCTATTTTTCATCGAACCTGTCAAACGCTCGTGTGTTATGTAGATTTTTCTATACACATGCATTTTCAAGTATACGATTAACATAACTAAAACGCAGCGATGACCTGGTGAATTTTGAACTCTTCGAGCAGATGTTTCTATAAGTCCATGAACCAGGTTTTCACCCTCGTCGCCAAATCTACATATTATGTATAGCGAGTCATCGAGTCATTTCCATATTCAATGTGGTTTGCCCACAACTGTTATTCCGAATTTTATAACCCATACCCGGTAGATTTTAGAAATAAAGTAAAATATTTACTCGAGGGTTTCAAAACAATTTTTGAATGATTATTAGGTATATACTATGTTTAGGGAACATTATTGAAACATTTACGTTATTAATATTATTTAAATTCAGTCAAAATAAATTATGTAAAAATATTTTGACAATTATTGAAAAAAAAAAATAGATATTATACCTTTCAACTGAAAATATTGCTGTGTGGGATATTAATAATGATAATTTATATACAAATATAACATACTATCTATTTGGAGGTCGGTGCAACACACCTCTTGCGCCAAACACCTATAACTAATGGATTCCGTGAGACACCCGTCTTGGCCACATTACTCTATAATGAAATTAATGTAATACCGTTATGGACACACACGATCATATTTTATAACGATAAATTCTACACGAGCGTTTTAACCGTCAAACTCGGTTATGGGTTAACGCGACTGTCGACCGCGGTATCCGAGCTTCTACAGTTAATTACTTCTGCCGTACAGCTAAATGTATATAATTTTGTTTTCTATTAACCGGATGAATTCACTAATACTTTGAACATAAAATAAATGGTCTAAGCGTTTCAAAAATGACATGGCCCGTCGTCGTGGCCGCCGAGCTCCAATATAAGATTATGAACGATGGTGATGCTAATTTATATTAACACAAAAAAAAAATGATCTAATCTCTTTACAAGCTGTATATACACATTCGCATTTGTAAAACGCGAATGACTGATCCTTTTACTTGCTGCTATTATTTTTGCAATAAATTCATCGGTTAAACCGCGGTTGAACAAGAAAATATAAAATTATACAGGGTAGATCACTTAAAAAAAAAAATCGCTCAATATCTTATAGATTTCATCGGCTACTATACAGTGTGATCTCAATTTTTCACAAACTTTTATGTTTTTAACTCCCTTCAGAATTAGTTATTTTTATATCAACTTTTGAAACTTAAACGGTAATGTATAAATTGTAATTAAATTAAGAATAATTTACTGAAAATGTTGACTAGTCGATAACCAGTTTTGGATAATTCTTCTTAGTTATTTAAGTTTAAAGTTCAGGTTGGGGAGGATGAGTGGTTACCCACCACCCTTCCTCTCCCGTCATAACTTATCAATATGAATAACTTTAAGAATAATTAGCCAAAACTGGTTATCGACCAGTCAAGATAATTGTCAGTAAATTATTCTTAATTTAAAAAATTAATAAAACACTTACGTTACCGCTTAAGTTTCAAAAGTTGATGTAAAAATACCTAAATTGGAAGGGAGTTAAAAACATAAAAGTTTCTGAAAAATTGAGATCAAATTGTATAAAAAAACGAGAAAAAAAATTCAATTACCGATATTTAACCCTAAGAGATATTGAGTGGATTACTTAAATAAAAGTATCATGTATAATATTAGGTGTACCTATATTCAAAAGGCGTTCAGCGCTGGGATAGCTCTATTCTTAACGCATCTACTTCGTCGGTAGTAAAAATAAATTAAAACAATTATTATAATATATACAT